ATAGGATCCAAGAAGATAAATTTGGTCTCGTAACATTCAGTTACAAGTGCCACAAATCTAATTTGCATATCATAAAATTTTATTTTATTTAAATATGTTAGTATATCAAATACATTTATATTTACCAACACGACTGAGCATTTAAAATTAAACTCGTTTTCTTGTTGTACTCGGTTACAACTATCTTTCAAAGCTTTTTATTTCAACAATAAGATTTAATTGGGCATTTATGATTAAAATTGTTATGAAAATAGTATATCACTCGTATATGTAACTCGACGCAATTCATTTATTCAATATGATCAGTTTATATGTATTTTAACACACACAACGTAAGGCCATCTTAAATATTTAGAAATATATAACGATCTCAAGAATATTCCCTTTCAAATAATTTGAATGATCAAAGACAGAAAAATTACACATTTTCTCACGATACAATCGTCATTATATTTTGCATTCAAACTTTCAAGAGAACTATAGTTAAAAAATAAATACTTGTTTCCTGTTTGTAATGACTATAGAGTTTTTTCTTTAGTTTTTTATGTGTGTTTTACTTATATAAATCTTCAGTCAGTGGCAGTGAAAAAGGTTTGAAATCTATTTGTCTATAAAGCGCAAATAATCGATTGATACCTTTCTAATAATATATATTCTCAAATGCTATTGTTTCATGGATGGCTAGTCCTTAGGTCTGTCCAACATTTAACTGTTGGATTTATTTATTTTTTTTTTGTTTTAATTTTTTACGTGTACCGTCTGAACAATGTAACGTGAAAGTCACAAGGGACCAAAACTTCATTAAATTAAGTTAACTATGCCCTTATTCATTCTTGCATACAATTGTGTGACATGAACTACAATAGCGTTAGTAGAAATTCAATAGGTACCTGGTGAAATACTATTAGAATTGTATTTTTTTTTCTACGAACCATGGTTTTTTAAATGCTATGGGTCATATGGTTATTCAATAATATTTCAAATAAAAATTTCACCTAAAAAAAATTCACCTACGTGAAAGCTGTACGAAACAATAAATGTATGTTATATTTATAAACTTCTCTATTTTATACTTGAAAAGGCGACTTAGAATTTAAAATTAATCTAGTTTTATCAATGATCTATAGCCATGTTTTAGACGACAATATATAAATTTGATAATAACTGTTCTATCCAATTAAAACATCATATGTGATGATAATACAAAAAGATTGGAAATGATTGACCAACAAAATAGTTGTTAACGACACAAAAGGCTAAAGAATATATTTTAACTTTACGCATACTAAAAACTTATTTCTAATCTTCTTAGGATATATGTATATTTTTTTTTCAAATAGCAAAATAGTGAAACTAATTAACTTATCAGTATTACATTAAAAATGATTGACCATAATCATATTTCATGACTGACTGTTTAAATTATTGATAGTTATTTTTGAATTTTAAACTATTTTTTTGTACTTAAAAAAAACACTAGATTTTAACTTCATATTTATATTTAATTGAGCATAATTTATGCAGGAATTTGAACACTCTTTTTAATTTTCAACACATTTCAAAAAATAATAATATTAAATGCTTCTTTGATTAGTAATTTATATTGAATTTTTGGCTATTAAATATTAAGAATGACAATGAAAAGTGTTTATTTGTTATAAATCAAAACAATTTTATCTTAGTGAAATATTAAATTTAAACAACGAAAGAATGCATTATCCAAAAAACACAAGTTTAATTTGCATTTCAATGTCAAATTTTTCTATCAATTTAAGAATGATTTGTAAACTTGAGCATTAACGTTAATCATATCAATATTGTTAAATTATGTTTGAACCAATATTTTTAATTACATAAATTTAGAAAATTATAATTTTTCATCGATTTATGATATTATATTTGACATTTTACTATGGTAAAACATAATAAATACAGTTTAATGTAAATAACTGTAAATTAATAAATTAATAGTTAACGTATTCAATTAATTATGTATAACCTATTTAAAAAAAAAAAAAATCTTATTTTAATTTAAAAAATTTATAAATATTAGAATTTTAATTTACCGGAATATTCAAGATATTCCTGATCAAAATATTCTGAAATTATCATATCCTTTAAGAGGCTATAATATTCAAATATTTTAGAAAATTGTTAATATTTTATTAGAAATGGAATAATATCCTACCCTCTGAATAAACACGTGCTTCGAAAATCATTACATTTCATTTGAACATTGAACCTTCAAAAGTTCACTATTTTTAATGTTATGGCATTATTTATCACAGTATTCTTTAAACCATAGGTCACCAACCAATTGATCTTTATAGGAATATATGTTGATCGTAATAAAAAGTATTTTGGTTGGTTTTTTAGTAAATCAATGCTGGGTATCGCATTAATAAACTTTTTTTTTTTTTTGATAAAATAGAATATTTACAATCTATAATATTTATTTACAATACAATAAGTAAATTTGATAATAAAAGTGAAAAATATAACTTGAGATGGCATGAGGAGGGAGGACCACCAGTGTGGATACCCTCTAGCTTGGGGTGGAGAGTTTTTATTTATTTATTTAATTTTTTTTTTTTTTTAGTTAATATTCAGGATTTAGAAGATCTCGACACCAGTGTCTTTTTAATCGACGTGGGGGGTTATTTGGTATGAGTTCATTGGCTAAGTTGGAAATCAATGGATTTGTGTGGTTAACTGCTTTGGTGTGAAAATTTTTGTAGTAGTTTTTAGCTATTTTAGAGACTGTTTCAATTTTAAGATCTTTGTGTAGTGAGAGGTTTGAGACGTACCATGGCGCAGATGTTATTAGGCGAATGGAGATGGACTGGAAGGCTTGTATAGTCCGTATTTGGGAGGGTTTGGCACAACCCCATATTTGGATGCCGTAGGCCCAGATAGGTTTTAACATTGATTTGTAAATTAATAACTTGTTGTTAATAGAGAGTTTGGATTTGAGGATAGGCCGTAAAAGATGAAGTCTGGTGTTAAGAGCCTTTCTTTTGGTTTTGAGGTGTGGACCCCAGACGCTTCTTTAAAATTAGACCTAAATATTTGGTTTGGGTTGTGAATTGGATTGGATTGTTTTGAAAATAGACTGTAGGTAGAACAGCTTTTCTTTAAGTAAAAGGAATGTGAAAGGACTTATCTATATTAATTTTTATTTTCATTTGATGGATCATTTTGAAATATTATTAAGATGTATTTGGAGGTTTTGGTATGCTGTTTTGGGATCAGAGTGGGATGAGAGGATTACCGTGTCATCAGCGTAAGTGGCTGTCAATGTGTTTTCGGAGTTGGGAATGTCGGCTGTGTAGATGTTGTAGAGATCTGGTGACAAATCACTTCCTTGAGGTACTCCTGCTTTGATTTGGAATTGTGATGAGAGGGAGTCTCATTGACGGACGAGAAATGAGCGATTTAGTAGATATGATTTGGATAACAAGTATAGTGGAGTCGGGAGAAACGTTTTTAGCTTAAAGAGTAGTCCGGTATGCCAGACGCGGTCGAACGCTTGTGATACGTCTAAGAATACTTCTGGGCAGAAGTTTTTTGTCTCAAACGACGAGGCTATTTTGTCGACAATTCGGTGGATCTGGTGGGTTGTGGAGTGATTTTTTCTGAAACCAAATTGGGTATCAGGTATAATTTTGTGGGACTTGAGAATGGGTCTGATTCGTTTAAGCATTACTTTTTCGAATAATTTCCCCAATACTGGTAAAAGACTAATTGGTCTGTATGAAGAAGGTTCGTTTTTTGGTTTATTGGGTTTGTGTATAAGTATGATTACAGATGGTTTCCAAATTAACGGGAAGTAGGACAATCTGAACATAGAATTGTATATGTATGTGAGAAGAATTATTGATTTTTTTGGGGAGATGCTGAAATATTTTTTTGTTATTTGGTTGTTTCCAGGAGATTTTTTGATTTTTAGCTTTTGTATTAAATTTTTTATTTCGTTAGGAGATGTATGTTTGATAGGGAGAGACATTGGTAGTGGGCTATTGAGAAAGTTAGTAATTTGATTTAAGTGACTTGGTTCAGGAATTAAATCGCAATGAGGAGTAAATATTTCGGACAGGTGTTTCCCAAAAGTGTTGGCTTTATCAACGTCAGAGAAGGCTAAGGTACCGTCTGATTTTTTTAAATGGAAAGGTTGATCTTTTATTTTTAGAATACTTTTGGTGGTTCTCCATAAGGATCCCTCTTTAAAACATAATGACTCATATTTGTGTTTGAATAACTCGGACTTGTGGATCCGAATTTTAGTTTTTATGGTATTAGGTGATTGTATTTTTTTTTTTTGTCGGATGGTAGTCTGGTGTGTTGCCAACGTGAGCGTGCACGAATTAATAAACTTACATTTTATTTTTACTTTTCTTGTGTACTATTAGAATTTTAAAATATTATTATTAATATGAAGGAACAATAGAAAAAATGTAATAATTATTAGACTTTTCATTTTTTGCCCATCAAACAAATCTCCTAAAATCTCTTTGAAGTTGATTATCAGAGACCTAACATTTCAAATGTAGCTCACTTGCTTGAAAATGTCGGTGACTCCTGCATTAAACATGAATGCTACTCATTATAATTTTCAAGTTATTTCAATGAAAAATGTTGACATTAAACGTTAAATTATAGAACCCAAGTGATTCTTTTGGCACCAAAACCACCGTTTTTAATGTGCGAAAACGGTAACATTCGTATTTTACTTGTCATCAACGTTTTCTGTTCCTGCCAGTATTTTCTACTAGACACTATTATTTATCGATGTGGTCACACGCGCGTTGAATGGGACGCGCTTTTACCCGGGCGGTCAAACTTTCGTTTTCTTCCAACCTTTTTTTACTCTCCTTCGAACGATAAGACTACATCGTTTTTTTCTAAGTATCGCAACCGGATTAAACGTAATAAATTTAATATTAATTAACGCGTCATATGACCATCGGACTACGTGTTTTTGCGACTGTCAAAGCACTCACCGTGGCTGTGCCGAGTTTGGCTGTGGCGCACGGAAGGATAGCGCTGCCGCCGATCTGCGACGTGACAACGGTACCGTTCTCGGTGACGAACATGTTGTCCGGGCTACCGAGCTCGTTAATCAGCGCGTTCCCGGGGGGATAGTGGACCGCCGCCGACGACGACGAAGATCTCGACAAATGACGTTTGTGGTGGTGCACTCTCTGCTTCCGGCCCCCGTACCCCGACGCGGTAGTAATCTTTTCCATAGCCGACATCATCGGTAAACCGCCTCCGCCGGTATCTCCGCCGTCCTCTTCTCCGCCGCCATCGCCTGAAAACGCAAAAAGATTTGAAAAATTAAACTATCCCTCTTTTTCCATACCACTCCCCAACAACTGTAGAATACTTAAATACCGCGGAACCCAAACGATTGCTTTCTTCCAGGCGCACACATGTAGAACACACACAATCCTAGCGTTCGAGATCGAACGTAATTATTTTTACCGTTTCTATAAAATATAACGAGTAACACAAAGATGTTCATTTTTTAGATCTTAAATCGCATTTAAGACTACACGGTTAGATTTTTTTATATATTTCAAAAATATAAACATGATGGACGACATGTAACTTTGTTAAAATAATTCAACTAGAAAATTGCTATAGAGTTCCAATATACGTGTAATATATCAAACTATGTGCGTATGAAAAATCTATCTGGCCTGAAACAAATAATAATCAGTCGGATAAAACTAGAAATCTGCTATATTTTCTTATCAAATAAGCTAGTTTCAAAGTAAACTGTTACCTATTTTATTGCAAGAATCGTCTAAGTTTTCGATGTCTCTTTTAGTATAAAATGGTATATTAAAAATAAAACGTGAAACTCCACGATAGAATAAGATACGTGATTGAGTGAATTATATTACTTTATATTGGTCTTTTAATATGAAACCAATAAATTTAATTTCGAAAAAAATTATTATGATTAAAATAGGTCTGGTGGATCAATTAATTTTTTTAATGTGTAATGCGCACCCTACACGAGCAGCAATTTACAATTTCTTAATGGAGTTGGGCGCCAATTTGTAGTCGTATTGACTTCAAATAATTAAATATAATATGATATAATAATAATTATTTCCGTTTATTTATTTCATTTACAAAGTTTTTAATTTTAATATATCACATGTAACAATAATAATAATCATAATATTTTATACTGTCGGTATTTAATACGGCAAATACTGACTATAAAATATAAAAAGAATATCGCGAAGGAACACGAAAATCCCATTCACAATTATAATATTGGTGTCTGAATTTAGTGAAGTACCAACTAACACAACAAAACTTATTACCACTGGTTGTTTGGTGATCTTTACAATGGCACGGATCACTCGGATTCAGTGGCGGTGGCACTGAAGGACACGATATCACTTATAGGTTCATAATAGACAGGCGGTACGGCGCGCTCGTATGCGGTGGTGGCGGCACGGATGATACGGTCGACTGAAATTGATCAGCGCTCTAACCTGATGGCCGAGAGACATTGATATAACTAAAAAATGACCGACGACGTGAAATATCTAAGATACGGCGGACGACAATGATACTGCGGACGACGATTAACGCAACAAAGAGTACAGCTAACACATTACTAGCTGAGCTAGTGACAATCCTCTAACTAAGAGCCGAAAGGACTGTGTACCGCTAATTTTGTAATGTGATAGCTGCATGCTCCGGAACTGACGATTTGCCGACTTGCCGGTGTGTCCAATGGGTATATATAACCCATCAACGTATATTGACTGTGTTCGCGGATCATTGGTTCTGGTACACTTAATATCATTGATGACTGGTATCCAGAGAATCTATTGCTACCTTTGACTGAGTATTGATGGTGTTACAATGGTCAATTATCACCTTTATGGCGATAATTAATCATTAATTGAATTAACATTAATAATTTAAAACATTTTTTTTTAAATACAGGTGCTGCACATACGTCCTTTGTTGCCAATATCTTAGGAGTGGTATAATTCCGTTGTTACTCATTGAAACGTAAATGTAGTAACGAATGCCATCTATGTTACCATAAATGGCGTTCGTTACAAATGATAGTTGATACCAATAGAACCAAATCTCTTAATAATGTAGAACAATGATAATACTTTTACTCGTTAAGTAAGTAAATTAAATGAACATTTTTTTTTATACGTGATATCAAATTATAAAAATTAAAATTTAGAAAAATTGTACATTTAAAGAAAACTGCACAAATTTCATTGAAATATTTCGAAACCTAGTTATGCTTTTTAAATTAATTTCTATATGTAATTGGTAAATAAATCATGTCACTATGATTAATATTTATAGAATAAGAATCAATAACTAATATTGTACAACGTAAATCCGCTGGAATATCAGATTTTGTAAAATTTCATTTTCTATCACTAATAAACTTTTCTTGTGATTTTCTGGTTGGTTTTTTTTAATATACACTTCCGAAAAAAACGCTAAGAAATCGTAACATTTTCATTGTAAATAACTCAAAAAATACATTTCGAAAATGATATCATCAATAGCGAATGGCTGTATATATATAAGCGTTCAATGAACATTTAAAGTTCTACAATAATTTCGTCTGTCGTTTGTCTAATCGTATAAGTATGTTTGAAAACGACCACCACCGCTCGCACCACATCACGAGCACGCGTAGAAATAACACTCGAAAAACTATGGCTCTACGAGTTCAGTAATATATACTGGCTACGGACATGGGCAATTAAGTCCGTTTTACGACCTGGTCGAAATTTACAACAATCATGGCTGCTTGTTCATGGAATTTTTCACAGCGCTCGAACGCAATGCGGTTTTTGGTTTGGTTTAAATAATCGTGTAACCCTGATGGGACGTGTATTTATTGCGGTACCGGAGGTGAATGATGGATATAAATTAATAGAAAAAAAAAAAAATCGGTGAAAATATTACGAAAACTCGTACGCCGAACCTCATCTCCAAGTCGTAATGCTTTCAAGTTGACCCCCCCACCATCACCCAAAGGGTCGAATTTTGAACGACGGGCAACATTTTTTATCAACAGCGTTTATCCAAGCATAACTTTCGGGAACGAGATATCGAAAATATTATAAAACCCAAAGTGGCACGAAAATTCTTTTCCTCGCAGACTGGATACGAGAATGATCAAATTATGTCCACAGCAATTGACAAACTTAAGGAGACCGAATCGAAGTACCGGCGATCAAAATCGGAACTCCGACAGAATGTGTCCGACGACGGCAATGTCGAAGAATGAACGCAACCGCAGAAATTTCATTCGACTGATTCACATCGAATATCTAATAATATATACTCGTATATTAAATATAAAGCCATATTGAAATTAAACTAACGCACTTCCGTAAACGCTTGTGATAGTGCTATGGCAAATTTTAAACGCGTTAAGAACGATGGTCGAACGAATGCGAGCGAAAAAAAAATAAGTACACGAATATAAGTCTATGTCATAGTTTCAAATCCAATCGATACTTAAATATGATACCAAAACGATCCAGCTGTGCAGTAGCCGACATCTGCTCATAGCAGGATCGATTTTCGAGTCAATCGGCGTTGGGCCGCAGTCGCGTTGGCAGAAATCTCGTTTCCTCGGGCCTTTCCCCCTGAAAGGACTGAGCTATTCAAACCAAGCACGGGACGTGTGATTATATTTTATCATGTAACTTCTTCTCTCCTCCTCTCGCGTCACCTTTCCCCAAAAAAATGGTATCGATGCAAACGAAACGAATGCAATCAAAAGTTACGTCAGTTAACCTCAGAGTACACGGAACGCCTCCAGAGACGCGCTAATAATGACTTTGTTCGCCATGAATCTACTGTTTACACGAACTTTTTCGTACAACTCGGGCCGAGAGAGCGTGGAAATCGCTGCAGGTGTGACGAGCCAAAGCGACGGGATAAGTGCATGCCAAAATCTACATTATTAACTTGAAATTTGTTCGTTTTCAGACACGACTGTTCCTGATAGGTTAAGAATGAGCTTATTACGACGCTTGAAAACCAAATTGATAAGTATAAATTTACGTTTTACTATCGAAAGTGTTTTTAAATTTTTAAAGCGATAGAGCAGTGATGCCCAAACTTTCTTTCTTAGTGAGGCGTGCTTCGGTAAATGATTGTCTTAGAGCGGACTACCCAATATAAAAGTACGAATAATGTTAATATTAGTCTAATAATAAAGTTTTGTTACACATAACAGATAAACAATATACATGTACGACATTCATAGCCAACTAGTTTCCGTATATTTTATTGACTGTTGAAATACATATAACAGATTGAGATACACGTTGTAGATGCACATTTACTTGATTGGAACGCTTTTTTAAGTGAACATGTGTCATGTCGATATTAGATCGTAACTAGTGATGGGCAAAAGTGTAATAACTACCGACTTAGTCGGTAGTATCAAATGACTAATTTAGTTACTCGAACATTTTTATTATTCGATTTATTTTTATTATTCGACCAGTTATTATTATTTTCGACTAATTTTTATATATAACTTATATTATTATTATTTTACTTTTTTTTAATTTTTATAATTTGACTTATAATTTTTATTGGACTGATTGAAAGCTTTTAGCAGAATTATTTTATCCAACATAATAATATAACAAAAAACTTAAAAAACTTAAACATTACTTCAGAGCAATATAAATTAATATAAATTAAAATTTAAAAATTTACAACTGTTTTAAATGAATTTTGGGTATTAAATATATTTTATATTTGTAGTGTATGACGTAAGTTTCATTATTGGTATTTTTGTTTTAACTAGTTTAAAATAAAAATACGACTACAATTTCTCAGAATTACCGAATTATTAGTTCTTAATTTTAGTCGAATAGTTATTTGTTGATTAATTTCATTTATTCATATTAGTTGGTGGTAAACATTTTAGTCGAATAATTAGTCGACTAAATTCATTTATTTTTGTTAGTTGGTCTTAAACATTTTAGTCGAATAATTAGTCAACTAATTTTATATATTTTTATTAGTTGGTCTTAAACATTTTAGTCGAATAATTAGTCGGTTTTACGTGATGAAAACCGACTAATAGTCGGTAGTATTAAGTAGTCGTTCCTGCCCATCACTAATCGTAACATTTCTATTTGTAAAATTCCGAATATAAAATTAATACAATAATCACGTTTTGCAATATTTTTTTCTTATTATCAGCCACAGAATACGTTCGTGGGTCACACGTGACCTAACTGATCACCACTGTGATGGAGGCATGTACTAATA